GGCACGGCCGCTGGCTGGAGGACAACGTGACCGTGGAGGCAGCTGGCCTGGTGCAGGACTGGCTGATGGGCGAAGAGGATGAGGACATGGTGCCCTGCAAGACACTCTGCGAGACGGCCCATGTGCATGGCCTGCCTGTGACCCGCTACCGCGTGCAGTACAGCCGCCGCCCTGCCTCCCCCTGATGCACCTGAGCAGCCATCACAGCACGCAGTTTGGTGTGGTTGCTTCCTCAGGCCTAGGTGTCCATCTAGACCATTTTCCTGAACCACCCGAGGGAAGGAGAGCATCCCCCAGCCTTGCTGCTACAGGCTGCCGCTCCAGAGAAGGGGTTGTGTCAGCTTGTGGCCCCCTGCTGCCATCACTCTCAGCTCCCCAGCCTCCTTTGGGCCAGTCCTGTGCCAAGCCTGAACCCCCTGCACTTGAACTTGGGGCTCAGTCCCCAGCAGAAAGGGGAGGATCCACCCACTGCCTGAGGAGCAAGCAATTGTGTTCACACACCTGCCAGGCACTTACATCACCTGTGCCAAATCTCTGGGCGGGGCTGCGCTGGTCATTTTGTGCACAGGGCATCTGGGAAAGTCAGTGACCAGCCATGTGAGGGCACACGTTTGGGAGGGGCCGGCATTCAAAGGCTCCCAGCGTAAAAGGAGTCGGGCAATGCCCAGATCTGACTGTGGGCATCAGCTTGGCCAAGCACCAGTGCTCAGATCCTCGTTATTTTATAAGCAGGAAGAGCCCTTTTAGCCAAACTGTGGTGTGGTGTGGGCAGGAGCATCAGAATGGCCCAGAAGACCCCACTCTGGAAAAAGGACTGCCAAACCCTGCATTGATCCAGCAGCCGGACTCTGGGTCTGTGGGGGACAGGGCTCGGCCCCATACCCACCAAGCGAGTGGCCCATGTGGGAGGGCTCCAGGGCGGATCGTGTACCAAGATGGACACTCCAGAAAGACAGGTGCACACCCCTATTTATTCCTCTACGCTCTCTGTGGTGGCACTTTTCCAACAACCACGTCCCAAGGCTTCTAGGGACTGAGAGCCTCTTCATCCCCACCCGACACCGCTGTTCCTGCAGCTGCCTCCTGGCGTGTATGTGAGGGGCTGGGGCGACTGTCCCGTGGAGGCGTCATGGCTTTCTGGGCCAAGAATGCCAGGCAGTTCAGGCTGGGGACCAGCTCCTTAGAACTCACCGCACACGAGAAGCCCGGGCCGGGCCCTGGCAACATCATACCGAGCGGGATCCGCTGACAGGTGGGCCCGAAGCAGTCCCCGCGCAGCCTCTGCCACCACAGCCTCGCCCTCCTGCTGAGCTGTGCCAAGCCCACGGTTCCCGCACGTGGAGGCGTGTTTCTAGAAGTTGCCTGTGGAGCTCAAGGTTTGTGAGGCCTTGACTGTGGGCCAAGGCTTACTTATCCCTCCTGGGGTCTCCCTGCCCTGTTTCCTCAAGTGTAACCCAGGCACTTTGTCTGATCCCTTGTTTTGTAAGAAGGGAACTTACCAGAACTGCACCAGCCCCGGGAGGCAGCCCCTCTGTGCCTCAGCGGGGGCCTGGGGTGTTTGCCAAACCCCTGATCCCCTACCCTGCATGCTTCTAAGGAGCTCTCTCGTTTTTGAAGAATTTCTCTTCTGGGGCTTGAACTTCCTTTGCAGCTGTTTTGAATGTAGTTTCCTTTTCTATTTATTTGCACATTAAAGTGAACAATTAAATATTGACCTGAAGCTGTGAGCTTCCATCCGTTGTTTCCTGTTAGTGAATCCCAGGCGGCTTTTCCCACCCAGTGAATTCAGGCAGCGGGACCCACAGGGAGGTCTGCACCTGTGCACAGTGGTCCCCAGACCTCCCGGTTACGTTTCCCGCGGGTGGTTCTCCGTCCTCATACCAGAGCATTTTCTAGAACATTCCAGTTCAGTTGTTATGTTCAGTAGAAATGTGAAGTGTTTCCTTCTAATGTTGTGCATGCAAAAACCAATTACAACACCCGGTGTCTGCTCGGAGTTTTCTCTGCCTTGTGCGTCTGATGCCAAGTCCGGAGGCTCATGGGAGGTGGATGGGACATGGCGGGGGGTGGGGGGCTTTGCTTCCCCGGCCCCACAAAACCACCCTCCATACTCTACCTCTGGGGCCACACCCTTCCACCTCTTGCTTCTTTCCCATCACTGTCCTCTGAACATCTCTAGGACCCCCTCCCACTCTAGGACCCCCTCCCACCTGGCTTGCTCCCACCCTCCAAGGATCAGGGGAGCCCACACCTCTGCTCAGGGGCCTTCCAGCTGCACCATGTACCTGCCTCCCCTCAGCCATGCCCAGTGCCTACCACCAGGTTCCTGAGCTCAGTTGGCACTGCCCTGCCCACCTGGCCAGTCCTCTCCCAGAAGTTGCCCACCTCCCAGGGGCCCCTCCACCCATGTGGGGGCCCTCATGGTCCCTACTTCCCCCTCCAGAATGTCAGGGGTAGCAGGCAACTTGGAGAAGGAGGCTCTACTAGCTTGGATTCATGGCACCCACCATTCTACTTGCTGTCTCTGGCTCTGACTAGGAACCGTGTAAGTGGAATCATACAGTATGTCCTTTTGTGTCCGGCTTATAGTGTCCTCAGCGTTTATCCATGTAGCATGTGTCAGAATTCCCTTCCTTTTTGAAGCTACCTTCCTGCTTTTTTAAAAACGTAAGTTTTTATGGAAAGTGACACATGTACAGAAAATTCCAGTAGTACAAAGAAGCACACGAAGGAGTCGGGGCCCAAGTCCCTCTCCCCAAAGGCAGCTGCCCCAGTCACTCACCATCTCCTCCCCCTGTGCTCCAGCCGTCAGGACACGGGGGTCGGGGTGCCACCCTCAAGGCTGAGTCCCAGGGCCAGGGGCCACAGCAGCAGGAGCGCCCACATGTGATCGGGCCGGGCGCCGGCTGCTCTGGGCTTCAGCCAACTGGCCTAGGGCTTCCTTCTGCTGGACCCCCACCCCCAGCTTCCTGATTGCAGGCGGAGGGCAGACACCTCTGCACCACTTGTCACCCAGTTGGGACAGGACAGCAGCTGACACCTCCCTGTCTGGGGTCCCTTCGTTCTGCTGGCACAGGGTTGTCTCCATGGGGGGGGCGGGGGGGGCCGTCAATGGGCAACCCCTCCTCCCCCCTCCACCCCTGCCCTGCCCTGGCTTGCTGGAATAGCCCCTGTACAAATACATTCCTGCACACGAGTGTCTGCCATAAATTCAAGACACACAACTCCTGAGTCAGACACACCCCTCTTGGGGCCCCCACTCTGCCCTGGACCCGGTGGTCCCGTCCCCAACTACCCCTGCACAAATTATCATGGAGGGTGGGATGGGGTCCCAATCTAGGCTATCAGTGGAGGACGCATAATACTATGTCATCATCCAGCGCCCAAGGATGGGCTGAATTAGATAACGGGAG